GAAAAACTTTTTTTTTTTTTTAAATTGTCTGACAGAGATTTATTGACCAAAACATACACAAGACTGTATATTTGCTTAGCGTTTAAATGATATGTTGACAGATTTATTAGGTGACTGATTTATTGAGTGAATGGATTCAGGCCAGTTAAATTAAATAATTGACTGATTGACTGTATTCGTACCACACACACACACACACACACACACACACACACACACACACACACACACACACACACAAACAACTAAATTTTAGCTAGTTAGATAGAAAAAGGATGTGTGAATTTCGACAAGACAGATGTGAAGTCAATTAGATTAGTGTTATTTAGCTAGTGGGAGGAACACTGAATTAGATGAGTGTTGTTCAGCTAGTGGGAGGCCGAGAAACACTGAATTAGATAAGTGTTGTTCAGCTAGTGGGAGGCCGAGAAACACTGACTTAGATCAGTGTTGTTCAGCCAGTGGGAAGCTGAGGAATACTGAATTAGATCAGTGTTGTTCAGCTAGTGGGAGGCCGAGAAACACTAAATTAGATCAGTGTTGTTCAGCCAGTGGAAGGCTGAGGAACACTGAATTAGATCAAATTGCTCTCATTCGACGAAACATCAACCAAGCAATAAAATCTCTAGACTAACACCAAGAAACAATAGACTGTTTCTTAATCAGCAAGTTTTGCCTGCAGTGGTAAAGATCCAGGTCAAGGTGAGAGGTTCGACCTCATTGCACCGGATTTTAGCCCATATAGCTCCTCATCTCTTCACAGAACTGCTAGCTGCCTGCTGAGAGCGTCACACAGAGCACGACCTCTGTAGCTTCGGCGAAAGATCCTCCGGGATTTCTGTAGAAACTGCACTCGTGAACTGAACGACACCGCCGTGAAAGAAACCCACGATATTCAGAGCGTGAGGAAAACCGCTTGACCACTTCGCCACAGAGATCCCCTCTGCCAAACTATAGTTCACAATGAATATATTCTTTGAAATAAATACTATATGTACGCCCATGAGCGCTGGTAATAAATACGATATGTGTGATTAGTGATGAGACCTGTGAAAGCTTCGAACCACTTACAACTGGAGGCAAAACCTATCCAATATATTATACGTTCAGCATAAAGACATTGCGCCAGGCTGCAGGCTGAGCACGAATTCCATCTATATGAAGATCTCAGAGACTCGTTTTACCCTAACAGATGCCGTGACGTGCAGCATACAGGATCACAAATGTGATTTGCTCACTAAAGTCAACAGTTGTGGTTTCGTCTGGCTATTGGAATTAATAAGCAATCCTGACTGTGCATTCTGCGCTTTCTTGATTGTGTTTAACTTGCATTAAGGCGGCACACCTGAAGCAGAATTAACATCCTTCGGGGGATCAAGTTACTTACCCAATCGATTGAATAAATAGTGAGAGAAAAAAAAGTAAAGATCCCTCTTCACGCCTCTAGGCGCAGAGGGTATATGGGAAGAGCTCCATATTGTTACAGACCAATCGGCACTAGGTGGGTAATGTTGTCAGCATTACGCCAGCCGTCTTTACTTTCTTGGTACCCATTTTAGGCTAGGTCGACCTGCGAAGCCCCATACCATGATAAAAATCTCACGCGATTGAATGAATGGGGAAACAGAAAAATTATAAATTCCGAAAAATTATTTTATAAAATGTAATAAAATAACCAAGCTCTATTGTATGAAGGAATGTGAACATTAACTCTTTGAGTCCACTTACGAAGCAGGAGATATTTATACGGTAAACTACCATACATGTGGTAAATGATGGCAAAGAAGAGATGGTGTGAGACAAGCTACCACCAGGGCTTCCGAAATATTTTTGGGAATAGTACTGAATGTTTATTAAAAAGGTACCAAAACACACCGAAAGGTACCACATTTAAATTGTAACCAATTTTTTTTCTGGTGATTTCTCAGGACTAGTCGTTCCCTTGTGGGATGCAATTTTTCATTTTTTAAAGCCCCAAGCTGGCTTTTTCCGGGAGCCCTGAATATAGCCGGGCCATGAATTTGGTCTACCGGCTGAAAGGGGTTTCTAGGACCTCCCCACGGGTGATCCCCATCCGCATGGTGGCATTTTGTGTTGTTACCAGGTGTTTATCACTTGTGTGATGTCCTGGTGGGGTACAACAAGAAAGAGCGTGAGAGAGAGAGAAAGAGAGAGAGAGAGAGAGAGAGAGAGAGAGAGAGAGAGAAAGAAAGAGAGAGAGAGAGAGACTATTAGTTTTAAGCCATTTTCTTCATTTATTTCTTTATTATGGTCTTATTTCACAGGGTTGGATAATTCCATGACCAATGTCGTGTCTTACCTTTAGTAATCTTTACTGGATCCAGTGTACAATGCCAAGATGTAAAATATTGATGCGTAAATGTCTAAACCGTACCGAAACGTCGGCCGTGATATAAATAATTCTATATAGGTATAGTAGCCAAACTATTGTGCTTTGACTACTTTTAACAATGACAAACTGCATTTCTTGTGGCGACTGTTGGCTTTAGCACCTCTAGCAACTGAAATACGCATTTACTGATTGCGCATTTTTCTTAATTGTTCCGGGATTGACTGTCACCAGTTTTTCAAATACGACAGTGAGGGACATTTTATTTTATTTTCGCTTGCACAGGAACGGAGCAAGTATGGGGGACCCCTATTGCAGTGAAATTGAAACCTCGCCTAATACTAAGACTAAGTCTAAAAGTACAATTCTGCTTGCCAAGGGTCAAATAATTTTAAGTGTGCACGAAGGAATCAATTTCGGCAGCCCTGGCTACCACATCCAAACATATACAGTGATGGGGAATAGAGCTCTAAACTGTCGTTATTGGCAGGAAACAATCGTTCACACGTTCTCAGAAGTCTACTACAGAGGTATCTTCTTAACGTGTAAACAATTTCTTCATGGTCTGCCAGTTGTCCGTCATCTTCTTCCATGCGTCATCGTTTCCTCAAACTAACCTTATGAACATTTTCAGACGCGTTTAAGTATACTGAGCTAACGTTTTCTCTGTTTTAAATAGACCAATCGGCACTCCGTAGGTGATGTGGTCAACATCACATCTACCACCTTTACCTCCCAGGGCTTTACCCTGCTACCCATTTAAGGCTGGATCCACCTGGGAGCCAAGGTCAGTTTTAATGAAAGTTCGGCTCCGTTCAGATGCGAACTCACAACTTTCGGATCCGGCGAGAGTCTAGCTGCTAAGCGTTGGCGGCTCCCATTGTGAACCTGAACGTAGACTATATAAAACTCCACAATTGAAAATCAGGAACGAAAAGTGGATTCCACAGTTCCTGGGAGATTGACCAGTGTGGCGACAGACATGATATCAAGGACACCAAGAGCAGGCGAATTCACGGGGCGGATCAGTTGGCCAAGGACCTAGTGATTTTCCGGCCTGACGAGAATGAAGTTATGCTTTGCTGGGGGGAAAGAAATCATCACGTTCAAATATGATTATGTGTGCTACATAAAGTGGCTTAATTTTGCACGCCACTTTTAAAGGACTTCTGCAGCGTTGAAGCGTTCAAATTAGATGGACCCCAATACTGTCCCGACCGGTGAAAATTCGTCTACCGGCGAGCCAGTAGGCTACATGGTTGCGGATGTGATGCTATATGGGGTATACCTTTGGGGGGGGGGGAGAGGGGGTTGTTAAAATGCAGGACATATATTTTCCAGTCCTTCATTGACAAGTAAATGTGGCATAAAATGGTTCCCGATGGCGATGTGCTTGGTTCTAGGCCTGAAGACCCGACTATGATCTTCGATAAGGGAACGCTTGTCCTGTAGGGAGCAAAATTAAAGTCCAACCTGCACAGTTTTCGGCTACTGTACTACCCTTAAATCACCTAGCTCACGACCTTCAAATGCTAAGGTTGGTTCTGCAAAGTCCCGTAAAGTCATCATCATCATCAGTTTAAATTGGCCAAGTACAACCGCAGCCTAGTGAGCTAGCATGTTATTAGCATTAGTTATTAATTTTGGTCTTGTTTAGGCTCTTCTTTTCTTTTTCTTTTTTGTTTTGTTTTGTTTTGTTTTGTTTTTTGTTTGTTTGTTTGTTTCTTAACGTTGGTGGTTCTAGCATTCCACGTCTGTAGAGCCAGGTTTTCTACATGTTGCCTGAAGGGCTGTCATCTTAGTGCTGATTGGTTAGTTTGGCGCTCGTCATGATGGCCGTAAAGGACATAGGCTTACCTTCATATCGGGGGGCTTTATGAAGCGACACAACCATGGTATCAGTAGACAGACACTGAAAAGGGAAATAAATGGGCTATCCACATGATAAAACAGAATGGAGGAATGCAGTCCGAGCCCTATGTGGCGTATAACGGCGAAATAAGATGGTCTTCTTCTTCTTCTTCTTCTTCTTCTTCTTCTTCTTCTTCTTCTTCTTCTTCTTCTTCTTCTTCTTCTTCTTCTTCTTCTTCTTCTTCTTCTTCTTCTTCTTCTTCTTCTTCTTCTTCTTCTTCTTCTTCTTCTTCTTCTTCTTCTTCGCTATCACCAGCTGTAAACTCTGCCGGAAAGTTCTGGCTGTTCATCCACTTTTGGATTGCAGTCCTGTTCCAGAACCTAAGAGTTGCGTGTGCATCTCATTTATATGCAGAATGCTGGTTTCTATCTTCTCAGGCAGATGCACTCCGACTTCAAAGAAAGCTCCCAATTAGTCGACTCTTACGACATGCTTTCGGGTAGGCAGCGGGTCTATTCTTGTTTTCCCTATAATAGGGCCCTGGAACCCACACGGGGAAAATTAGATGGTGAAATCTTGATATCTTGAGAAGTGTTATCTTGAAGTGATCTCGTCTATAACTCATTTCTTTATTCCATCTTCACCTTCAAGAAGTAAATTTAATTAAAAACGAACACAAAGAGTAGATTGTACAGTGCTAATATCATACAATACTATTAATATGTCGATAGTTTCCAGCCACCAATACACCCCCAGCGTTGTTCGTCATTAACACCACGAAGCAAATTTACCGGAAACTCTGAAGAGTTCCGTCATGGCAAACAGCCACATCCGCTTTTGTTTATCAATCATTTGATTGGTTAAATTATCAAAATGGCGTCGAGGCGTGCAAGAAAAAGACGGTGTAGACACGTTTGACATTGTCGAAGCGGTCACTGATTTGAAATAACAGAAAAACTCGACAAGTGAAGCGAACTATTATAACGAATGCTCATTTCGTTTGATTAATTTCCCAGGCCACTTGTTGGTACGATTAGAGGGGAAATAACCGTCAGCTGTTCATTAGAGATGGTATTTAGCTGACGAAAAGAATTATTATTTAATTATTCAAGAACTGGGGGAAAAATAAGTTTTAAATGATCGTTTTGTTTATATTATAAAAAGAAGCAACATTGCGGTTATTTGAAAGAAGAGGAAAAAAAAAAAGCCTATCGAAATCATTATGTATTCAGTAATTAAATCTCTTAATAATTGCCTGAAATTGGGATTCTCTGCCGCTAGCTATTAATAAAATTTAAAACAAATCAGCACGCAATTGATTTTTAAATAACAATATGGACACAAAGGGAATAATCATGGATTGAAAGAAGATTTTTTAAAAATATATTTTAAATTTCGGATAGAATTAGGAAAATGGTCTAGCAATAATAGTTGTGGGAAGAAACATATGGGAGTCAGGGTAAGGGACGACATGGTGGTAGCTTAAAAGCTAGATGATAGGTTTCAGTCCAAAGGTCGAGTGTTCGAAACCGCGTCGATAGTATATATATATATATATTTTTAAATTCAAAATTGACCATTGCTTCTTTGTAGTTTAAAAGTTAGCTTTGTATTCTTTACAGGTCGTCATAGAACGAACTCCAATATTTGTGTTTGTTTGTTTGCTGTTGTGTGGAAAGTTTACATTCAGGAGTTTGCCATTTTCAGTGTAGATCGGGTCTCAATACCACCGTTGAAAAAAGCGCAAGGTGGTCTGCTACCAAATAGCCAGCAGCTGGGATCAAGCCCGTCCTGGCAACGTCTAAGCCATAGACGCCGAAACTTGGTAGACCCCGCTTAAAATCTGCACCAGGTAATGTTGTGGGATGTAAAGGCAACCGGCATGGTATTGTCTACATTAAGTATTGTGCGCCGGTTATTCTATAAAATTATGAGTTTAAATATTATATTCCACATCGGACACTAGTTTAAAATAGGTTCATTTACTACTTTTTCTTTGTATTGTTTTACAGTAATTAACAAGAGGTCAAATGGTTCGGTCATGTGACAAGACTACCAACAGATAGTACACCACAGAGAGATACTTGGATGTAATGGAAGCAGAGCTCGAGGTTGACCACGCAAGCGACAGATGGATGAAATATCCGAGGCCAAACACCATGGATGCACACGATGTTTCCGAACAGAACTGATCATCAGGAATTTGTTGACAGTACATATTTTGTTCCCATTTTATCGTGCCGCGTTGCGGTGATACAGATCTTTACACAGCTATGATACAGATCTTTACACAGCTCTGATTCAGATCTTTACACAGCTCTGATAGAGATCTTTACACAGCTCTGATTAAGATCTTTACACAGCTCTGATAGAGATCTTTACACAGCTCTGATTAAGATCTTTACACGGCTCTGATACAGGTTCTCACACATCGGATACAGATCCTAACACATCGGATACAGATTCTCACACATCTGATACAGATCCTCACACATCGGGTACAGGATCTCACACATCGGATTAGTTCCTCACATACCTGGTACTGATCATCATACAGCGCTGATGCAGATACTCACACATCTCTGATTCAGATGATGATAACCATCTTCAACAAGCACGCGACTGAAACGACTGAAACGAAAACCTGCTTATACTACTTTGATCATCATCACTATTTAGCAGTTCTTTTGCAGAACGTCGCTCTCACAATAGTGTGCCTGAAGGAAACTCGGTCTCTCGCCAGCTCTCCAGCCTCGCGACCACTCATATTCAAGGAGCCACTTATAAAAATGTGCCCATCTTTATGTTGGTCGGTCCCTGCCCCTTCTTCCTGATACCATGTCTTCTGCTACTACATTTTCCAATCCGCCATGACGCTTAATGCTGAGTCCGCAGCTTAGGTGTTGCGAGTCTGACTCGCCATTCCAACGTTCTGCGATCGAAACCCATTGTTGGCTGCGTGGATTTTAATCACTGTATAGGGTGTGGCAGGTCGACCCAGCCCAAAATGTGTACCAGGATGTATGTCCTGGAAAAGTAAAGACGGCCGGCGTAATGCTGACCACATTACCCACCTAGTGCCAATTGTTTGTAAAAATATGGGCCCTCTTCCCATGTACCTGATGCGCCGAAAAGGCGTGAAAAGGGATCTTTCCTTTTTTTTAAACCCAGCGCTTGATATGACCAACATTTTTCAGCTTCAAAGACAAGATGCTGTTTATTAGCCAATCTTCCTTGATGATTAGAACTCTTTGAATGTTGAATGTCAGTATTTCTTCTCTTCTTTGTCTATGGTATTTTGATAAACTTTCTATAGCATCTCAGCTCAAAATGACATTGTTTTCTTTCTTGAACGCTGGGATTTAATTCACTACTCTCATCCGTACGAAAAAGGCATTCTCTGAAAATTTTAACTTTGAAATCCTTGCTGGTGCGTAATCATAGACTTTTAACTTCGATTATTGTTACCCCCCCCCCCCCCCCCCCTCCCCCCAAAAAAGTTTACAAATTCATGAACGTGAATGGATTGTAATATTTTAGAAATTGTTGACCGATTGTAATGACTTTTGATATGCTCACCCCAGACACCATTTACGTTAGTATACTAAAGAATAGCACAATGTTTGTGTCATGGATATTCACAATCTGCATGTAAAAAAAAAAAAAAAAAAAACACCATTGCGATCTAACATGCAGTTTTCGAGAAAATAGACTGCAAACGTGTTCATGAATTTCTGAAATAAAAAATGAACTTGAACTTGAAATTCACATGAAAGTAATATCTAAGATTTTATTCCAATTTTTTACAATGGTTGGAAAAGATGAATGGAACTGGCTGATTGGCAGACTATAGTATGTCATCTGTCTGAAATAATTGTAAAAGCACTTTGAAGGATACATCCAACAGGGAATCTGTGCAGTTATGGCATTCTTATTATTCATACGCCTTCAGGTGCCAACGAGAATATACTTTATAAAAGCAAGAGTCAGTTTGAGGTTGTTTACCTCTCCATAGTGTGTCCTCCACCTGGTCTTGTGAGGGTCAGAATGACTTTCTGTGTTATGTATATGCTAAATTAATGGATGGCTGCTTTGATCTGGAGTGGAGACAGTCTGCTGATTAACCAACTGTCATGATACTGTCTTTAAACAGTAATTACTGTCTGTTTTGACAGGGGTGGATGGGGGGAGGGAAGATGTCTTTGAGCCTAAGGAATTAGGAGCATATGGCTAGTGCTGTAGCCACAAACTGTACAGGTTAGGATTTTTGTTTTAGGCAACGACTGAATGTCTACGGCATTTCCGAAGATGCTAACTATGAGCTCAGGTTTTCCCCCCTGTGAAACCCAAGACCCTTATTTTTTAAAAGGCTGTTGTGGGAGGGGGGGGGGAGGAGGATAGATGCACTGATCATTAAAAAAGCATCTCGTTAAAGGCAACTTATGAAAGTTCTTTCCTTTTAGGGTGGAGTGCATCTGCCTGACAGGTGAAGAACCACAAGTCTGCACACAAATACGCCGGCTCTGTAAAGCGGGTATGTACTCTCAAAAGGCACGTTCTTTAACAAGGCCATATTCCATCAGTAGACACTCGGGACCAACCACCACAATTTGCCGCTGATGAAGAAGAAGAGGACGTTCTACCTCACAGGAGATAAAAACGATCTCCTTGTGTGGTTGATTTCCCCCCTCCCCCCTTTTTTCCAGCCCCCTCCCACAATTTCACATGCACTATTTAGTCTGTGACATAAAGGTGTCTTTCCAAGTTTGTTGCCTAACTCGGTGATAAATCAAACATCGAAGAAAACCAAGTGCAACATTATATGCGCATTACCAACACCCAGACGCAACACTAACGCAAGACCATCGGAGACTTCGCTAAACGCCGTTCGCGGGTCGTAAAGTCGCCAACAAGAGATGCACTAGAGTTGTGCCTCCAACCTTGCACTGTAAACAACCAAGAGAAGTGCAGAGTAAGAGTGATACCCAACATAAATTTTACAAACAGCCCTCGACGCGTTTTCACCGTTTCCTCCTTAGCAAAAAGCGACCAGAGCAGACAAGGCGACTAAATAAAAACCGAAATTGTTTGCCGAATTGATTTGAACCCCAATGCACCGAAGTTATGCGTTCTTGATTTCTGTGATCGAACATCAAGCGTTTGTTTACGAGGTCAGTTTTCGAATAGAGGTGTTTAACTTTTGAATTGTAAATGAGCTTTGACGTAGCTTTTTGAATTAAAACAATACCAGAAACTGAAATTTGGTACCAAATACAAAGTTAGAAACCTTTGTTACTTTCAGACGGTGAGAAATGGCGGTGAGGGAGGGCTGTTTGTAAAAGTAAAGTAAGAAAATAACTAGTTTCCACGTCTTCGGCGTATTGTGTATATAGTGCTAGACCCATATATTATAGACCACTGGGCAGTCGGTGAGTGATGTGGTCACCATAATGCTGGCCTGTGCTTTATTAATATCCTACCCCAAACAGGCGAAATCCACAGGTCACGGGACAGTCTAATATTTCAGGGGGTGGTAAATAGGCTGCATGCAGTCGTGAGACCTAGGCTGCAAGCGGTTGTGGGACCTAGGCTGCACACTCTCTTGGGACGTAGGTAGGTTGGGGTTAGGGCAAGTTCTAGATGTTTTGGGGTCGTTAAAAGCAGCATAAATCCAATCTTACCACCCTCTAAAATGTTGGACTGTCCTGTGACGTCATCTGGGGTAGGACATTATAAAAGAACCTGCTGGCCGCCTTTACGTCCCTGAACTTTACCCGGTACCCGTGTCGACCTAGCAGCCAAGGTCATAAAAAAATGTCCGAATCCGTTTGTTTGTGAACCCACGAGCTTCCGGGCGTCGAGCCACTTAACCACTGCAGCTCACGGGGCTATTTGTGGCTTAGTGGTTAAGTTGTTTGCTTCATGCTCTAAAGATAATGAGTTCATTGTACAGACCGCAAAATTAACTTCATATA